CTGCGGGGGCTGCAGCCGCGGGCGACGCCAAGAACGGTAAGACCGGGACTGCGGGGCGGGCGCCAACTTCCTCCCCGACGGGGACGGGGTCGGGGACCGGGACAGGGACGGCGCGGTGGCGGGGCGCGGGGTGGCGCGGGCCATGCGTGGACAATGCGAGTCAGGAAGTGCTCACCCCGCCCCTCCGCCCCGCCGCGGCGGCCCCTTCCCGGTCCCCACGCCTGGCCGCGATCAGGCGTCTGCGGCCCCCGCCCGGTGTCCTGTAGCGCACCGGCCGCGCGCGTGGTTGCCTGCGCCCCAGACTTGGTGAGGCTCACGGGGTGCTGGGCCGCGCTCGCGCAACCCCCGGGCCTTGGTCGGAGTGCCCGCGCTGCCAAAGCGCCGCGTGTGCCAGGTCCGGAGGGAAGGAGGGAAGGGGAAGGAAGGAAGGAAAGCAGGAGATAGCTGCCCAAGTTACGAAGAATGATCCAATTGAAACTTGGGCACCAGTTCATCTTCTTTGCTGCTCTTACCACCTCTCCCGCCCCCAGTGTGAAGAGGAACCTTAAATCCCAGCAAATCAGGCTTGCTGTGTTGATTGTCACAGGTGTAGAGGCCCGGAGACATTTGTACTGTGGGATGTGTGTGTGTGTATGTGTAGGGGTGTTCTTAAGTTCTCTTGCTTGCTTGAGGAAGGAAGAGAATCTGAATTTGACTTCCGTTCCTAGTCTATAGTTAAAAAAAAAAAAAAATTCATCCTCTATGTAATCCTGCTTCACATTTTAGGAAGGAACCTAATAATCTTAGGTAGTGCCTGAATGCTCTCTTTGAGGGGACACCTGGGAATACTGCAGATGTGAAAGATTGTCATGCTGACTGCAGAGTCCTGGTTTTCATTATAGGGTGCTGGACAAACACTTTTCTTTCTTGGACAGTTTTAATTCCTCTGGGCAGGTGGCTTTCAGGGAAGGGAATATAGGTATATTTTAATGAAGGGAGATTAGGAGCTTTATATCTGGCTTTTAACTTGTCTTAGTTTTGAAGCCATTCTTTATGCAGATCAGTCACTTTTTAAACAGGGCACCTGCACTTAGAAGAACCCTACAGCGCTGTGAACATAAGCTATTGAAGTGTAGCCTATTAGAAACAAAACTTTAGAGCCCACTGGCTGTGCCTGAAATTTTGAAATAGGAAGTTTTTTTTTTTTTTTTAACCTCAGGAGCAAACTTAACCCATTTGTGAATGTTTAATAATAAAACTTTTGGCCATTCTGTATTTTCCATGTTCTTTTGTTTTCCTAGCTCTAAACTTCATTCTGATATTGATGTGACAGAGGGGAAGGAAGACAGACTCCTGGCTCAGCCATTTAGAGCTTTGTCATCTTGGGAAGGTCAGTCTTTCTGAGCCTCTATTTCCTCACTTGTCAAATTGAAAGAATTATACTGATGATATTTGCCCTCTCATTGGGTTATTGTGAGGCTCAATGTCCCTTCCCTACCCAGTCTTGTTTTAAAAGCTTATTACATTTGTAACAAGCTTAGTAAGGTCATCAAGAAAAGTATGTGATTTAATGAAAGATAATTATCTTATTCATGCCTTCATTCAAAAATATTAAGCAGGAAATAGTGTTACAAGGGTTGTGTAGGATAGCAAAGGATACAGTGGTAGTCTAGAGAGGACATACTGTCGTCATGGAGCTTGCATTCCTGTGCTGTGGATGACTTGGCTTTACCTGCTGTCTTTTTTTTTTTAATCTGTAATGGAAGCTTAAATTGACTATTTCCTTTTCCTCCAAAAGATTAGGCTAAAGGTAGTGTGTAGCTTGAGGACATTGTCTACTCAGACTAGTGGTATCCCCTGATTTGTAAACATTATGATTTTGTTGCTCCTGATTATGTTGTTCCTATTATTATTTTCCTCTGAAATGGCCAATTCAAGTATGTTTAGCAGTTCTGTGAATCTTTGTATTCCTGAATTGGAACTTTTTTTTTTGAATGACTAGGGTGAAAAAGAAAGAAATAACCAAATGTTGTTATAATTGTGGCTAAAGAAGGTACAGTTTAGAGCAGTGAGCAGAATTTTCTGATGCCAAGTTCTTGGTTCTGATGTGATGTGAAGTGATTAACCTTAATCTGAAGAATCTCTCACTGTAGTTGATGATAACTGAATATGTATGCTGAGACTTCCTATGTGCAAAATTGATAAATAAGGAAATTTCAATATTTTCTTGCCATTTAAAGCTCTTTAATTAATTTGATTATTTGATGTAGTATTGGTTTATATGATTGGTTGTCTTTTGGTAGTATAAGACCCTTCCCACTCCCTTCAAGTGTTATTATCACGGGGTACCCACCACCAACACACTCATGGTCCACTACTTTAGTCACATGTGTTTTAAAGAGAGTTGACTGGTGAATTTCTTAAAGAATATTTATTTATTCATGCAAGAACTGGGGTATAAGCCAAAGAAGAGGGGGGTGTAGAGAAGATTTACCAGAGACAGAGTGGGGAGTAGAACAAGCAGATGGACTAAAATACACTCCTGAGGGGAGCAGGATGTGAGACAGAAGAGGTCTGCTGTGCCATGTGGGTCGGCTCCCTGGTATTGAACTTGTGCTGCAGTGGCTGGCAATAGCTTGATAGTGTTGCCACTAGGGAGGCCTGACTAGTGAATTTTTAGGGAAATGCAACAGATGTGCAAACTCTCAGATTCAACTGATAAGGCCCAATTTTTTGATTTTTAAAGTGACATTGAATGTAGAATTACTAAATATATTTCAATTTTTTAAAAAGATTTATTTATTTATGCTTACAGAACTGGGGTACAGGCCAGAGGTGCAGAGGCAGCGAGCGGATTCACCAGAGACAGAGTGGGGAGCAGAACAGGCAGATTGACAAAGTACACTGCTGAGGGGAGCAGAGCAGCGGGCAGGTCAGAAGAGGTCTGCCATGCCATGTGAGTCAGCTCCCTGGCTGGTCAGGGATTGAATTTGTGCTGCAGTGGCCTTGGAGGGCTTCATAATGCTGTGCTTTAACCCGTTGCACCACCAGGGAGAGCCCTGGATTTCAATTTTTTTTCTTAAATATGGCATTACATTTTATAGTCATGAATATTACAAATTGAACATTTATGCCAGAGACCATAGTAAATCTTCATCTTATTAAATTTTTTAAATGGCTTACTCTTAGTGTTCAAAACAGTTGTGATTTACTGTGGCAGGTGACAAACTCAATGACTTCACTTAAAATTAATAGTATTGATTTGTAGTTGTTTAGTTTATAGAATGTTTTTGTCTTGCAGTTGTTGGACAGTGTAGTCACCAGGGCAGTGCAATGTTAGCTCTTAGTTCTCTGTCAGTGGGTATACATAACTACTTATTCTATAAAAGAAGATTGCTAGCTAGGGAAAGATTTTGGGAAGCTCTGGTGTGGTTGCGGTTGAAGGAATTGAGCTGGTTGCCAGTTACATCTCTTGGGTAGTTGAATGTTAATTGTACAAACTTTGTACCCCTACTTAGACATTTATTTGTATGTTTTCAGAGTCTGGTTTGTGAATCTTTTTTGCAAGGATTAGAGTAAAAAATGAGGATGCACTATCTTCCTCCTTCAGCATAAACACTTGTCTGTACATATTGTAGCATTTTGATTGTAGGTAGGCAAAATTTGCCAATAATTATTTTTAGGATTTAGTAATCATGTGGTAGATTATAGCTATGTTCTTTCATTCTAGAATTCTGCTTCCATTAGTCCTCCACATTTTTGTTTCAGGCCTAAAAATATATGAACCCTTGATTACAGTTACCTAGTTTTCAATGAACCTGGATCCCAGGTCTTCATAAATTTCTATTTTATGGATGATCAGGGTTCACCATTACACTCACTTCTGACTTTCACCAACAACCCTGGGCATTGGTGTCTACTTTAACTCATTTAACAGCTCTTTCTAGTATTAATATAAGGTTGGCTCAGCATTAGGTATTTGCAGCTCCTCAAGTGACTTACCATATGATCTTGGACAAGTCATTTGACTTTTTCAAGGCTTAGTTTCTATATATTTAGAATCTGGATTAGATTATAGTACTAGCTGTACATATAGTAAGATATCTATATCTTTTTTTTATATATTATGCATGTGATTATGTATGTATACATACACATAATATACATAATCATACATAATATCTGTATATATGAGCTGTGTCTGATTTATAATATGGGCTTTCCAAGTGTTAGCTATTTATTTTAGATTCTAGAAATAGTCTCTGAGATGCATGAGGTTTATTGGGGAACAGTGATGCACTGATAATTGGGAGCTCTGGAGTTGGGATGGCATGGAAATGGTGCCTTTGACACGTCTCACCCCCCACTGGACATGGGCCACCTGTGAAGAGGATATCACCTGGGAGGTGGCATCTCTTCAGCTGAAGAACCTTTCTGGAGAGGAGGGACTCAGCTGAGAGTTTTGGCTCCCAGTGAGGGAGAATCATTGGACAAGCAAGGGGCTAGCATTATCTTTACTTAGACCACCAGTACTAATCTCGTAAACACAGGTGTAGGGTAAATAGTTCTCACTGACTACCTTATAGCCTTTGGGGAACAGGCTGGGAATTAACTACCATTACAACATTGTCTGTGAAATTATGTTCTGAATTACAAACATCTATTCACAAATAGTCTTTTGTAGTAGTATTTGTTCCCTTTGAATAAGACTTATTTTTCTGCACATTTAGGCTAATGGGCACACTTTTTATAACCCATGTTTGTAGTATCTTTAAAATAGCTTCTCATGTATATTACTTATATTCATCAGGAGGATAATGAAGAGTGTTTACTGGCTGTTTATATTCAAGTCAAGAATACTTATAGGTCTAGTGTATATAGCATACCATTGCCATCTTGAAAGAGAGTTTTCTTATCTAGAAGTCACTTTTGTCAGATTTAAAAAAAAATACCTGTTTGCTTTTGAAGTCCACCTCAGTACTGGGGATTGGTAGAAAATATTGCTTTTTAACCATCAAAGATCCATCTTGTGCACTTTGTATACCAGAATAAGAACT